CATTTGTAGCACAGTGGTTCTATGATCACTTTCAACATTTTCACTGTATTTACTTTTATGGGATCTATAGCAGAGAAATCTCCAGAAGCATTTTCTTTTTTTTTTTTTTAAACACAGAGCCTTGTTCATTTACTCCTTGAATCTGCAAGCTGGATGTACAGCTGCCTCCTCTAACTGTGCAATCGCTGCTCTGCCAAAATGTGGAAAGCCAAGAAAAAGCAGCTTCTTCCAACATTTTAGAACTTCCTTGAAGTAAATTGAATAGATTTTCCTTAACCTGAATAGTAAAACTGAAGTATTGTGTGCAAAATATTTAAAATTAGGTACATCAATAATTAGGTTCGTAAACATGATGAATAAAATAGCTGAAAATGGTGGAAAGATTTTCCATTTCCTTTGACCCACACCAAGGACTCAAGTTGCTTTTAGAACAAGTCATCTGAAGGGGCAGATGACAGTGGTGACGTAGCACTGTCTGTGGTGGAAACGAGGACCTCCAGTAGCTGCAGCCATGTGCAACATTAGCTCAGGGTCACCACTGCAATGTGCCAACAGCTGGTTTAAATGGTATCATCAATGCTGAACCATCTCATTAAAAACAGTTTCCTGGAAAATAAACAGAACTAATTATGGAGGAAAATAAACAGGACTAATTACAAAGGCAAGTGGTAATTAATTGATTTATAGGTGAAATTATGACTTTACTGTATGCCTGGGTTCCTGTATTGAGTGTATGTTATGCCTAGCATTATTCAGTGGTATCAGTAATTAATTCTTGTTGATATTATCCCTGCAAGCCCTACTTCTTAATTACATTCCTTAGAGATTACATTCCTAAGTGACCAAGGCAGGAGCAGCTGTACAAGGACGAGGCTGTCTCCTTGTCCCTGGAAAAGGCTGGTTGAGGGAAGAGGAAGGTACAGAGAGTTCGGGACAATTTGCATGAGGGAATGCAAAGAAGATAGGCAGCTAAAATCACGGAGTTAACAAAGGACATCACAGGAAAAAGGAAGAAAATAATTTGGTATATGAATTTGAATATGCAAAATATGATATACATGTTTTGGGTAAATAACATTTTTTAAAAGCTGATCTCATATTTTTATTATCACTTATACAGGGTTATTCTTAATCATTCTCCCAAATTTGTTGCTTCTTAAGCCTATGGCATTATGATCATAAACTCATAGAAGGATTTTCACATGATAACTTGAATTTGTCCTCTTACTGTTAGACTTTGCCCAGAAGAAACATAACAAAATGTCAAAATTAAAAGGGGGAAAAAAAGAGAGAAATAGCAATAGGTGAACAGATGGAAAAAGTGAACATGCTTTGGGGTATAGTTGCATCTTTTCCAAAGATCTCTAGCAAATACTAATCCAAGGCATGAAGCCTAAACACATAGCTGGTACCCTATTGTTCTTCATATATCCACAGGGTATATGGGCTATTTTATTGCCATATCAGTACATGCTAGAGAGAACGAGGAGACCAAGAGAATCTCAAGACCATGGAATAAAGGGAGAATGAAAGAAATACTGAACAAATTTGAGTATGAGAAAACTTTTAAACACGCAGAAGAACTCTTAAATGCCATTGAAACACATTACAATTTTTTATCAGAAGAGAAAGAAATTTAAAACATTTCTGTTGCATTAGTACTAAATAGTAAGATATGAGATGAATGAGGGTCAGTAGACAGTTCTCAGGTTGGGAACAATTTGTGGGGAATCAGAATTTAGCTCATCAAGACATATGGAGAACATGTCAAATATGTTTGGGGCCTAGCTTTTAAAGAAATAAACAAGAAGAAAATTCTCTGGAGTAATAAAAAATATTAAAGATTTTCAGTCATGACAACTTGTCAGCTTTGTTGTTACCCCTCCACTAAAAGCTGCTTAGAATGTAGAAATTGCTATACTACATCAAGATGGTGATCTCCACGATGCAGCAACCCGCCGGAGATATTGGCGGGTTAAGATCAGCCTCTTTGCAGAAAAATCCCTGAACTGCTTAGCAGGCAGCTGAGAGAGAACTTTCCCAAAGAGAAGTTCCCCTCTGAATCTCAATAAAAAGTTCTGGCTAGGGAACATAATACCATAAATCTCCTTTTAAGCTGTGCCACTGTTTTATTTCAACTATTTATTATTAAACATCTGCTCAGATGTTTTTTTCCTGCTCAGATATTTTTAATGGTATGCTTGAACAGCACATATTATCTGTAAGTGCATGTCCTTGTGCTTTCTACTTAGATTTACAGGTCCCCAAGTTCCCCATGTGCAATGTATTTAATTCTCTGCTGATGAATCCTCCCATCTTTGGACACTCCTGCTTTTTAATTTAAGATTGTGAATTTGTCCCATTATTTGCCTCATTAGTACTAAAAATAGAAGGATGGATGGCAAAAACTATGTATTCAAATAGCTCTGAGCCCTTTCTTGTCGATACTTATAAAGAGATATTTCCCTTCTATTGTAAGGGGAGACTTGATGTCGAGTGGGGCATGTGAAATCAATGTATTCATTTCACATTTTTTTGCAGAGAAAAACAGATTGAAAGCTAGAGCAACAAGTTTTCATCACAAACACATAATATATTTCAAGGGAGACATTGATTTCAAATTAGAACATTTAACCCTGCTGACAATAGACTTGATTTCCTTAACCACCTTTCATGGGCTGTTAAGAGTAATTTGTGGATCTCTGGGGTTCGCAGACCACAAGTTGAAAATCACTTCTCTAGTAAATACTTCCAAATAAAAAGGTCAGCCAAGCTGCCTGTGGAAAGGATCAAAACAAACGAATCAAAGCCACAGAACGAGTACATAAGGTCAATAAAAAGCAATAGAAGCATGACAGAGTTAGACCATCCAAATGCAGTACATATGCTGAAGAAAGCAACAGCAAAGTTTAAAACATTCTTCTTTGGGTACAAAGAAGGACACAGCTGAATGTGGAGATAGAGGATGCAGATACTTCCAGGGGAACTCACTCAGAAATCTTTCTGGGTTTTTGAGATTCAACTGTGTAGCACTTGCACGTGTAATTCATTTTTTGCATTTGGCTCTGGGAGGCTGGGCTCAGCCGTGTTTGAAAAAAAAGTTGAACTTTTTTATAATTTTGGCTGAAATCAAGGAGGGCTTTCATCTTAAGTTAGTTTCAAATGGTCCTCCTGTTACGGTCTGACAATAAGAAATGCTTTGCTCTGGAAAGTCAAACATAAAGCTTCCCCCCCAAATTTCTGTCTCCCAATGCACATCTATTCTTATCAGAGCACAAATGAAGACAATTCAAGAAGATAACTTAAGATGAATGTAAATACCAAAAGACAGGTCTGGAACACATACTTTCTGGAAGATTAGTTCATTCCTTGAGAAAGAAAGGCAGTTCAGCAATTGAATTGCTGTAGAACAGCTAATGCAGAATATTTAAAAGGAAGAGCAAAATCTTTATTATATATATATATATATATTCATATATATATATAAATGGATCCATCTATATATATATGCATGCAGATATATAATGTTTGAAAACACTGTGTATGATCTGTTGAGCTGCCTAGCTTTTTATAGTCATAATAAGTGTTATGACTTTGTATGGTTATATTCCCTTTGGCATTAACTAGTATAAAACAACAAGAATCCTTTTCAGGGCAGGTACGTAGGTAAATAAAGCAGAAGCAATAGCAGAATTCATGGTAAAGGTTGCTTCTCTAATTGGACATGCTGATTCAAGTGAGGCTGCTACCATGTGATGTTATCAGGATCTGGCAAAGCATCACCCTTCTGTGTCTTGTTTATACACAATCAGGAGCAGTTTGAGGAGAGGTGCTTAGCACCAGCAGAACTGTTCTCACGTGCCTCAGTTTGGAAATCCCTGATAAACTGGGATTTTTCAAACTGCAGTTTGCATTCACCCACTATTTCCTAAAGGATCTGACACGTGCAATTACATTCTGATTGCGAACAAATAAAATTACAAACAGACAAAAGGTAAAATATATGTGCTTTGTGTTGTTAATAGTTCTCTAATGAATGTTTTGTTTTGAATTTACAGTTTGATCTCCCCCAAGCTTCACTGAAATTCAGAGGAGCTGTGACTTTTCTGTGCAGGACTTCAAAACACAAGTGTGTCAACTCCGAGCTGGCTTTGGTGAGCTTTCTCCTCTCGGTCAGCTCCATCAGTGAATACCAAAAAGCTTTTAAAAGTAAAAGGAACAGATTTTGAATAGAAGTCAAAATCTTACTTTTTTAAACAGAGAGAGCAGATATAGAAGACGGAAGAGAAATAAAACCTAGTAGATAAATCTCCATGTTCTCCATGCAAGCATGGCCTTGCTTTTAAGCTGGCCCATGACTCTGGGAGCCCTTTAAAATATAGTGGTTCTGTGGAAACTGTATTATAAGCATAAGAATATTGTGATGCTAATATTAATTATATCAAGATTTATTTTGGCAATGAAGTTTGATTTTTAGGGGTAGTAGTTTCTACTTGTGAGTTTGTTTCTCAAAACAGATTTTAATTAATTGAACTTTAATTAAATTATTAATTAAATAATATTTCAGTATAATTGGATATTTGTTATTTTGCTAACAGCTTCTTTTTTTTTTTTTGCTAAAATGCATTCAGTGCATATTTATGACAAAAAAATATTTTCATTGTTGGGGGAAAAAAGACATGAGTTAATGTTTCAGTTTGAAATATGACATATATCATTCTTTAAATCAATGAAATATTATATATTCAATTAAAAAATCAAATGTTTGCTTTTTTGATCAAACAAGCAAAATATTGTTTTTGATTTTCCTCTCTGATTTTCCACCCTTATTACTTCCTGTCAATCTTTTTTACTTCTTGTGTAGACAAAGGAAAGGAAAACAAGGAGAACAGCATGAGAACTGACAAGAAACCTAAAACAAAACAAAACACAAAAACAGAAAACAATTTTCTAAAGATTGCCAATTTTCTAATTTTTTTTGACAAGACAATGTACAGATT